CAAGGTAGCCCATTGTATAATTTTATAATGTCATGTAATGTGTATAAGGCCCCGTTTACATGAGACCGGAACGAAGTCAAACGGGGACCATTTCGTTTCGGTCATAGTATTATTTATAGTAGATGTTTACATGAGACCTGGACGAAAATAACTCAGATCGGTCTCAAGTCATTCCGCCTGCTCGACCGAGCCGACTGACTTCAGACCGGGAGGAATTTAAACACAAGAGAGGTTAAGATACCCCGGTTTCGGTGTGCGGGTACGAGTAGTGTCATCTTGTTGTACTGATGTCTGTAATTCGATCATACTTTTTCTGTTTTCTTGCAATAGACAATGATATAATGCGAAAAATGTGCACCTTAATTACGAGTAAAGGTACAGACATCGACGAAAATATTTCTAACCAAAAGCATGCTACCCGAACACCGACACCGGGGTATCTTAACCTCTCTACAAATACATTTCAGACCGGTCTCGGCTGTAACCTTAGAACAGCACATACTAACAAAAGCCATCTAAAAAAGAAAATTGCCTAGCAAGGGGAATAAATTGATTTTCGTAGCGGTCTCATGTAAACATGTTGACAATTTCAATTTTCATTCCTGTTTGACTTCGTCCCGTCAAACGGGGCCTAACAATGCAAATGCACCAGAACCCACATTTTTTGTTTTTCAAAGGATGGTTCATCAGACATGGCGATAATAAGTCGCAAAGGGTGTTTGGCTGTGCGCAGGTACAGAGAGGAGAAGGAGAGGAAGAAAGCACAGCATAAGGACTGGGAACTAGCTGGGACAAAGCTTGGAAATCTTCTTGGAGTTGAGAAAAAGAAGAATGAGGTAGACAAACATTCTGTTGAAATATTTTCAGAGAAAAAAATGTAATTTTGAATGGAGGATTTACGATTAAGATTAGCGAATTTAGTTGTGGATACTGTATGATCAAATGCGCTTCACATCAAGTATTACGCTCACCTAATAACATCCTTAGCCCAGACTGTTTTATCTTTACAACAATTGCGGCTTTCTTCAGGACGATGACGGCAACGAAGGTGATGATTACAAAGAGAATCAGAGATTTGCAGAACACATGAAAGACAAGACTGAAAGTTCCAGTGACTTTGCGACGCAAAAAACTTTAAAAGAACAAAGGCAATTCTTGCCAATCTTCTCTGTTAGACAGGAGGTAAAATACGAAGCAACTTTCAATGTTTTTTAACCAACATAATTACTATATTAATATCAAAATACTTCAATTATAATAATTTATCCTTCTGTGTCTCTTTGCAGTTGCTAAACGTTATTCGAGACAATCAGGTTGTGATTATTGTCGGGGAAACAGGCTCAGGAAAAACAACCCAATTGACCCAGGTTGGCAGTTATATTCTATACTCTGACTCTTGCAAAGTCCCTAACATTTGTTTGAAAAAATTAAAACTTTATTTACTTTTCTATCACATTCTTTGTACGCATATTGCTCAATTTTCACAACGGATAAAAAAGGATGACTTTATTTCCATCCTATTGCCTCCACAGTATCTTCATGAAGATGGCTACAGTAACTATGGTATGATAGGCTGTACACAACCACGGCGTGTTGCCGCCATGTCAGTGGCGAAGAGAGTCAGTGAAGAAATGGACGTCAGGCTTGGAGAAGAAGTTGGCTACGCCATTCGTTTTGAAGATGTCACCACTGAGGTGGGTTATACGACATAACAACCGCAACTTGTAATACAATAGAATTCGCTTAACTCGAGCTCTTCGCTATAAACTCGAACAAATTCCAGTCTCCCTTGCTCAAATTTGCCCGCTCGAACTGTATTTTTGAGAGGTGGATCAGAAAACCTCAGAATGTCAGAACATAGCACATTACAAATCGGAAGCTTGGATTTCAGATTACTGATCTAGCTTATAGGTATTGCACTGTTAAACACTGTGATAGGGACTCTTCAACTTAGGTAACAGGGGCCGATTGTTCAAAGCTGGATTAGCGCTAACCCTGGGTTAAAATCTAACCTGCTGTTTTAGTTTGTGTATTTCTACACGTCTGTCTATTTCAAAACTTCAGAGAAGAAAACTCCTACTGGTTCAGACAAGATCTCGAAATAAATATTTCCAAATTTATAAAGAAGCTGTTGGAAAGTTTGCTTTGAATTTCACGTTAACCCAGGGTTAGGCTAACCCAGCTTTGAACAACCGGCCCCTGGGGCAATAGTACCAGGGATGGATCCAGCATGGTCTGGTAGGAGGGGTGTTCCGCCAAAAAAAATTTCGGAAAGCAACAACCTCCCCCCCCCCCATCGACAACTTTTTAGGGAAAAAATTTTTCTGGACGAGTACGTTGCAATTGCTTTCCAGTGACTTTACACATCCATCAACTTGCTTAACCACTGCAAAGTCTAGCTACAGTATTTGAATTGTAATTGTTGTTCACAGTTCGCTTATCATCATGTTATTACTCAAATTACTGAATCTCATTTTGTCTCTGATAATTTTTTGCTTTATCATGAAAAATAGCACCCCCCCTGCACCCCTCCTGGCCAGGGCTAGGGGGTGTGTGCACCCCCCCCAGTAAATCCATCCCTGAGTAGTACAAACTTTTGGAGATTGCAATTAGCTCAGCCACATGAGCGCGAGGCTACCTAACCGTGAGTGGCTGGTCAGATTGGTTTGAAATGCACCAAAACCTTATTAACCAAACTGACATTTCGTATATTTTTAGTCGACAATGGTGAAGTACATGACAGATGGTATCTTGCTTAGAGAATCTCTAAATGAACCAGACTTAGATCGCTATAGTGCCGTCATTATGGACGAAGCTCACGAACGATCCTTGAATACAGATGTATTATTTGGTCTGCTGAGAGAGGTCAGTGTGATAACTTTGTTTATACTGGATCTCTCTCTCAGTTCTAAACTACTTTTCCTAGAGGTCCAGTCAGGATCATCCTTTTCTAACATTGTTAAGCGAAGTTTATTTACTTGTATATAGGTGATTGGCAGACGAAGGGATCTCAAACTCATTGTGACCTCAGCAACAATGGATTCAGACAAATTTGCTGTCTTCTTTGGCAACTCGCCTGTTTACACGGTACGAAAGAAACACATTCATTAGGCTTGGGTTTGCGGTTTCCCAACGCTACCTAGCTTTTGTAGGTATGACCAAACACTGTAATCAAGCTATCGAAGTTATGGCTCTGTTTGTATTTCAGATCCCAGGTCGAACATTCCCAGTGGAAATCTTCTTCAGTAAAAATGTCGTGGAGGATTATGTGGATGCAGCTGTGAAACAAGCATTACAAATACATCTCACACCTTCTAAAGGTACACAAACTACGCGGATCTCTAGGAAGAACAGTAGTTCAGAACTGATAGAAATATCCTTCATTCTTTACTCTCTAGGAGATCTTCTTATATTTATGCCTGGTCAAGAAGACATTGAAGTTACTTGTGGTTTGATACGAGGTAGGCAATGAAACATTAAAGTATATAGGCTACTACGTTTGTGTCCTATAATCTGCAGTACCACAAATCAGGGGCGGATCTAGCCTCATCTTCAAGGAGGGGTGCAGGTTTTCCATGGGGTGGTGCATGAGGGAGCCTTACTGCCCACTCTCCTCTGCAGTCTGCAACGCTACTATCCCAACATCATTATTTATAAAGTTCATATCGGCTTTTTTTACGTATGCGTGACTGGACAGTTACTGTAGCACAGTACACGCTTATCGCTATTATTACTGTAAACCTTCCCTCAAACAAACGTGTCTAACATTTACGGTATTGATGTATTCCTAGAACGCCTGGACGAGGTCGACGACGCTCCACTACTTGCAATCTTACCAATCTACTCTCAGCTGCCCTCAGACTTGCAAGCGAAAATATTTCAAAAATCACCCGAAGGAGTTCGCAAGTGTATTGTCGCAACAAATATTGCTGAAACGTCATTAACAGGCGAGCAGATATTTTTTATAAAAAGCTGTTGAGGTTTGTGTTTTCGTGCTGAAATAATTTATCTTCTTATTTTCTAGTGGATGGAATTATATTTGTCATCGACTGTGGTTACTGCAAGCTCAAAGTTTTCAATCCAAAAATTGGAATGGACGCTCTGCAAGTGTACCCTATTAGCCAGGTTTGTCAAAAATACTTTAAGTACTATTTAAAGTACGCGAGGAGTGTTTTATTATATTTAAACTACTAATTCTATAGTTCTAATAAAGCCGAGCTTTATCAGGTATAAAGCCACTTCACGTGATATATTATGGTTGACATGATTTGCCAAAACGATCATGAATTATTATCATGTTTTAATTGTTAATCCGATGTCATTGCCTGACGGATCATTCCGGACGAACTACCTACAATAGCGTGATCTATACTGGCTATGATTCTGTTCACAAACTATGCCTCGTATTTCCCTGATAGTTTATCTAATGCCCAATTTATACATATACACAAATAATCAAGATGATTTGTTTGTTAATCAAACGAACAAACAAGTGTTTTTGTTTAGGCGAATGCAAATCAAAGGTCAGGCCGAGCTGGAAGAACGGGACCAGGACAATGTTTCCGCTTGTACACAGAAAGTAATTACAAGAACGAACTGTTGATTTCAACGGTGCCCGAGATCCAGCGAACAAATCTATCTAATGTCGTATTGTTGCTGAAATCTCTTGGTGTTCAAGACTTGCTGGAGTTTCACTTCATGGACCCTCCCCCGCAGGTATGTTGTGTGCCCTGCCCCCCCCCCCCCGCAGGTATCATGTGTGCCCTATCCTATCAAAGTATATATAGCTGGGTTTTACTTAGGCGAAATATCAGGATTTTCCAAAATCCTTGTGCGTTTTTACGTGTCTGTCATACGTAACTTTGCTTTTTGCAAAGCCTTAAAAAGTTTAATTCTGCAATGAAATCATACATACTATGTAGTAACTGTACATACATACTATTTAGTACCTTGTACGCTATAGAGTAATTGTATTTTTTCAATTTGTTTGGGTAAATCGGTCCAATGAAGGACCAAGAAAAATTGCACATCCGGCCATATAGGCCGTCTGGCGGGGTATTGGTATAAGTTTTCAATCAGCAATAATCGCGCCTCGGATGAACCTCATCGGCTACGATAATGCCACTGCGCAAAGCTACCGAACAAATATTGAAATCAGTATTTATATGTCCGTTTTACCACAACGCATGTGGGAGCATCGTGTGGGCGGACATGCGCAGTGATGACATACCACAAAAATGTCATGCCTCAAGTCATCACTGCGCATGTCCGCCCACACGATGCTCCCACATGCGTTGTGGTAAAACGGACGTATAAATACTGATTTCAATATTTGTTCGGTAGCTTTGCGCAGTGGCATTATCGTAGCCGATGAGGTTCATCCGAGGCGCGATTATTGCTGATTGAAAACTTATACCAATACCCCGCCAGACGGCCTATATGGCCGGATGTGCAATTTTTCTTGGTCCTTCATTGGACCGATTTACCCAATCAAATTGAAAAAACAGGTACTCTATAGCGTACACCAGTCAATTACTCTATGATAACTTGAAATGACGAAACTAGTGTAACGTAAAAGCCATGTATTAACTATATTCATCTCTCCCCCAGGATAACATTCTCAATTCAATGTATCAACTGTGGATACTTGGCGCGCTAGATAACACAGGAAACCTCACTACACTTGGGCGACAAATGGTTGAATTTCCACTCGATCCTGCGATGTCGAAAATGCTCATTGTAGCCGTCGATATGGACTGCAGTGAAGAAGTACTGGTAAGGAGTCGCTGGATCCATGGGGACATACGTTGACATATGTATACTTGATTGGATATCTATGGATATTTATATGCATACATGATTGATATCTATAGATAAATATGTGTACGTTCATGTACATGATGGACATCTATGAATATCTAATATATACCATAAATTCTCTTAAATACGCCCCTCTAATATCCCTCCCTTTTTAGAAGTAATTTATGAAGTCCCAAGTCTATTAAACCC